AGTTACCCATAGGAGAGCGCTCATAACTGCCTGTTACTATAGCTACCTCCTCAGGCCCCTATACACAAGTCTCTCTCTCTCTCTCTCTCTCTCTCTCTCTCTCTCTCTCACACACACACACACACACACACACACACACACACACACACACACAGATAATTTAGAAAAGGAAAAAAATGTTTCTATTGTACACACAGGGCTGGAGAGATGGCTCAGCGGGTAAGTGCACTGACTGTTCTTCCAGAGGACCTGAGTTCAACTCCCAGCAACCACACGGTGGCTCACAACCGTCTATAATGGGATCTGATCCGCTCTTCTGGTGTGTTTGAAGACAGCGACAGTGTACTCACATACATAAAATAAATAAATAAAATTTTTAAAAATGCCGGGCAGTGGTGGCGCACGCCTTTAATTCCAGCACTTGGGAGGCAGAGGCGGGCGGATTTCTGAGTTCAAGGCCAGCCTGGTCTACAGAGTGAGTTCCAGGACAGCCAGGGCTACACAGAGAAACCCTGTCTCGAAAAAAAAAAAAATTGCACATACAATTTAGAAAAAAAAGAATGTTTATATTGTTCATGGCTTGCACTAAATTTAAAAAGCTATCAAGTATGTATACACACACAAAATCATTTAGAAAAAGGAACAAAAGACATTTATATTATTCATGGCTTGCACTGGATTTAAATGGCTATCGAGCATGTATTCATCCCTCAGACAGGATACTGGCCTGCACTATGGTATTAACGACATCAGCGAGTGCTGTTTGTAAGTGGAATGGGAAATTCAAAGACAAAATCCAAGCACTGTTTCTTGGGAATGGAGGAGCTCTTGTCAGAAGTGGAAAGAGGACCCCAATTCCCATCGATCCTCACGAGCAGACAAATCAGAGAAGCAGGATGCAGCCAGTGCATCACAACTCTACAAATGAAGGTCTGTCTTGAGCATGTACCATCCTAAGGAGTCAGTGCCCAAGGCCATCGGCTACTCTGCTTGCTGTGTGATCGTGCCCTTTGGAGGTGTGATGGGTCTTAAGTCAGCTTCAAATTTCTTTTCTGCACAGGATCAACCATCTGGAAGTCTTCACCCCCAACCCCCATCCACCACACATCTGTACCATCAAACCAGACCCTTCATGCTGGTTGAGCATAGGAAGCAAAGTGACACAGTGGTCTTGTGGCGGTAGCACTCACCGTTTCAATCCCAGCACCCAGGAGGCAGAAGCAGGCGGATCTCGGAGTTCAAAGCCAGCCTGGTTTACAGAGTGAGTTCCAGGACAGCCAGGGCTACACACAGAAATCCTGTCTCAAAAACCAAAACCAAACAAAAACAACCCCATCTATCTTTAGTCACTTTGATCTGCCAGGTACACTGGCTATGTGACAGGCCAAATCTGCTCACCTCAGGGGGTGCCCTTGCCACTAACCAGAACTGAGCCATGGTTTCTTCAAACCATGAAGGAAGAAGCAGTCCTTAAGAATGTGCTAACTTCCAGTAGAAATCCCGACATCTCAGTGCTTTCTATTCTAGAAACTCTTGATAATACAAAGTCTGGGAGTGGGCAGTGGGGAGGTCAAGTCAGCAGCTCAGGGGTGTCCAGGTTCTAACTCTGGGCTCTTTTTCACCACCAGAAAATGGCTGCATGCAACACATACCACCTTTGTACCACTGCAGCCAAAGGCCAACCTAGGGGAGGCTGTCCAGGAAGCCAGAGAGCACTCACTCTTCCTTCAACCAGAAGAAAGATTCCTAAGTTCCTTCCCCATAGCCTTCATGCAGATACCCCCTTGAATGAGGCCCTCCTCTAGCTGGGAGGGTTTGGGAACGGAGTACGTTTCCTCATTCTCCATGAGTGAAAGCTCTGTGAGAGTGAAGGGGAGACGTGGGAGGGCGGTACCCAGGAACAGGCCAGCTGCAAAATGTCACCCCCTTCTTGCCACTGAGGAATTGCTAGGAGAAGATAGCATGAGGCATACCTGCTAGCCCGAATCTCAGAGGACATTGGGGCTGTCACTTCATGTGTGGCTCAATCAAATGTGGGACACAGGGAGACGATGCAGCCCCTCATCAGGTCTTGGTCCCAAGACTGTGGCCCGAGGAAGCAGTATAGATTATTCCCAACCGGAGGCTTATGGGATCCTACCAAACACACTTTGTCCCTCACCAACAGCAGGAACTGTGGTAGGTTGAGTGAGAATGTTCCCCTTTGGGGGTATTTGAACACTTGGTTTCTTGTTAGTGTCAGTCTTTTGGGACGACTTAGGATGTGGGTGTGGCCTTGGTGGGTGATGTATGCCTCCAGTTGGCTCTCCCTGTTTTACCCTTGGCTGGTGCTCCTGAAACCATGCCTGCAGCTTGAGCCTATGTCTCCCGGCTCTGATGGACTCGTCCCTCTGGAAGCGTAAGCCCAATAAACTTTTCCTTCTATAAACTGTCTTATTCATACAGCAATTTTAAAAAAAGTAATTCTTAACTTGACGGGATTTAGAATCATCGTGGAAACAAATCGCTGGGCGGGCTCATGAAGACGTTTCTAGATTAGGTTAGTTGATGTAGGGAAGACCTACTGTAGCGGTTTGAATATGCTTGGCCCATGCGAAGTGGCACTATTAGGAGGTGGGGCCTTGTTGGAATGGGCGTGGCCTTGATGGAGGAGGTTTGTCCTTGTTAGAATAGGTGTGGCTTTGTTGGAGGAAGTACGTCACTATGTAGGCAGGCTCTGAGGGTTCTTAGTGCTCGAGCTCCGCCAAGTGCCAGGGAGCCCATCTTCTCCTGGCTGCCTTCAGATAAAGATGTAGAACTCCTGGCTCCTTCTCCAGCGCCATGTCAGCCTATGTGCAGCCATGCTTCCTGCCATGATGATAATGGGCCGAACCTCTGAAACTGTAAGCCAGCCCCAATTAAATGTTGTCCCTTATAAGAGTTTTCTTGGTCACAGTGGTTCTTAGCAGCCATAAAACCCAAAGTAAGACACCTACTCTCATTATGAAAGGCAACATTCTCCAGGCTGGTCCTAGATGGAATAAAAAGAAGAAAGTTGGGGGCGGGGACAGCCACACACAGCTCTCTCTGCTTTCTGACTGAAGCCGCAATGTGACCCCCTCAAGCTCCCACCACAGTGCTTTCCCCACTGTGATGACCTGTGTCCCCTGCAACTGTGAGCCAAAGCAAGCATCTCTTTCCTTAAATGGCTTTTTCTTGGGTATTTTCTTAAGGCAACAAGATAAATAACTAACATAGACTGTATGATTAGTTTCCAGACCTACTGGAAAGATACGGAGTATCACACTGGAGAGGTAAAGAGTATCCCTCTGACCCTTCAGCACATACATGACACAGGATACGAAATTACAGAGCACAGTGCCATCAACTGCCAGGATCCATGCGCTCTGCATTTTCTTGCCATCATATCCTAAAAGACGTGGTAACACCATTATTTAGGTCTGTGCTTCCACGGTTGCTGGTATTTCGAGTACCAGATAGCTTCAACCATGTAGCAGGACAATGTTGGTCATATGCAGGTTACCACACCATTCCACCAAGGGTATTGAGTTCACAGACTTTGTCGTCCTTGGAAGTTCCTACAGCCTGCCTCCCAGGGGACACCGAGAGTCAGATGTGTGTACTTGACATGGAAGGCAGTATCCTTCTGTTCCAAGTGCTTCTCTTTATGGGAGATTATCTCCCAGCTGTTCTCAATTCTCCACACCTCATCTTAGTATCTGACTAACACAAAAAGAGAGAGACCAAAGGGTCCAAGCCTCCCTTCTTCCTGCTGAGAACCACACACATAAGCACCTAGGAGTCGTATGGCAAGAGGGATCCAGATGTCCTGGCCTGCTTAGTTTGGCTCCCTGGAGCGGGGCTGGCTGACCCCAAGAGGCCCCTTTCCTCACTCCATGAAAGCTTTTTGTCTGAATGATACTCCTCACCTATCCTGGTGATACCAGGCTGGCAGTGGTGGCAGCAGCTCCAGACTGCCCTGTGTCCCTTTCTTTGGGCTGTGTTAGGACTAAGGTGAAGAGGAGACTTTGAACGTCTGCCTTCTTGGCTTTTATCCTAATTTCCAGTTCATTCATTTGCCATGGGGCAGGTTTAATGCATGATCACACATGCCATCTTTTTATTATGAACTCCTTCAGACACACGACTATGGGCTTGAATCCTAAGCCAATTTCTGTTAGGGGAACAGTAAAGGTTTTGGTGGGGCTGTCCTGGCAGGAGTGAAGGCGTTGTAAAGGGACAACTGTGTCCTTTCATTTGGTTATCAGATTGAGACATACACCCCAAGAAATTACAAGTCCCCCAGGGACCTCATGTCAGGGAAGGGAAGGCAGAAGCATTGTCCCAGCAAAGGGAGGAACTTGTCTCTGTGGAAGAGATTTACACCTTGCCCAAGAGACTAAATCCGAGACAGAGTGATGGATAGAACCATGCTTTGACCAGATTGCTTAGCTGTGAATACTTCTTGCCCTCTATTTAAACTTAAACTCCGTGTCAGGACCCCAAAGGTGGAGCAGAAATGGAGGGCCACTGGACCTCCTTGTTCCCTTCCCAGTGTGGCCACATTAAATGAATCTCTCTTTTTTCTTTTTTTTTTTTTTGTTGTGTCTTTAATGGTTGACAATAACCCTAGTGGCACTGGAAGATGGATCTCAGCTCTTGGTCAGTCCATCCATCCCTGGATGTCTGAGGAGCACTCACAGTGGTGACAGTTGGTGCCACAGCCCTAGCTTGTCCTGGAAGCCTGGGAGGCTCTTCAGTATGACTCTGAGACCTCTGTCCTTGCTTTCAACATCAATGACAACCAACAGAATGACATCAGCTATAGGATATATCGCCCTCACAGCTACCCACTCGTGCCTCCCCCTGGACAGCTCCAGTTAAGGGTTGATCCATGACAAGGAGCCAGTAACCAAAACACTGCCCCTTGAGTATCGGAGAAAAGAAAATGGCTTGTATAAAAAAAAGAAAAAAAAAAAGGAATGACAAACACAGAATAACATTCATCTCTTTTAATTCTCAGGCCGAATTTGAGGACTAAAAGTTGGAGACATCGAACTGTGTCACCAGGCCACATCCAGCCACAGAATAGGTGTGTATGTAGCAGGTGGGCCAGGTGGCTCCAGTGTCCAGGTGGGGGGTGCCAAGTCTTGATGTAACCAGTTCTCCCAGGATGGACCTTAGAAGGGACAGTCTTCTAAAGAGAGAAGAACAGACAAAGGGTGAGAGACCAGATCGACTCCATCTTCGATTCAGGCTCCATCTTAGAGACCTGACCTAAGGGTTGAACTTGAGTTAACCAACAAGCCTGAACATAGCACTAATTTCCAACTACCAATCAGGAGGAAAGCAGAAGTTGCATTTATGGTTTGGCTCCCAGCACTGGCTAATCATTTTAAAGGGAAACAAATTCCACAATAGCCCCCACATAAGAATTGTACCAGGCTGGAGACCCCATTGTTTGCTTGCCTCTATTAATGCTTGCTTGAAACTGGACTCAGGGTTTCACCCGTCTGGCCTGCTGCATCAATGACAGTGGTAAACCCTAGCTTGACCTTGAATAAAGACCCTAGGTGATTGTATCAGAATTGGCTCCTTGTAACAAGGGTACTGGTGAGAATGAGTGTTGACTTTCTCTTTAAACAATTGTAGGAAACTTTGGCTCAAGTTCTTTGCAAAGCACAAACTCTCAGGACTTGGAAAATGGCTCCGTTGGCAAAAGTGCCCGCCTTGCAAACTTAGAGGACCTGTGTTCAATCTCTGGTTCCACACAAGAAGCTGTACTGTGGAGATGAAGACAGGAAGACCCCTGAGGCTTGCTGGCCAGCCAGACTATCTACTCATCCCAGTGAGTGACTCAAAGAAGAAGCTGGGTAGCTCCTGAGTAGTGAGGCATGATGTTGACAACTGGCCTCCACACACATGCATACACGTGTGCACATGCATACAACCACTTACACGCATGCACATGTAAGCTGCCTTGGCGTTTCCCTTGCCAACCCCTCACTGCTCCAGTGAGCATTCCTAAGGTCATATCTTGGATTCAGACAAATAGCCAAGTAAAAATGACCCCCTTCTTTGCCAGACTTTCAGCCCTGACCTTTCACCCAGAGACCTAGATTCAGCTATGTTGCAGGCATCTGGGTACCACCAGATAGGTAAAGACCAACCAGTGACACCGACTGGCTCTACAGTCCCATGTAGTCCTTCTTACTAACTAACTCTTCATCCCCTACGACGCTGAGAGATGACTATACCTTCTTGCGGGTTCTCGATGGGCACAGGCTTAAAACACCACGGGAACCCCCGGATACTGTCATCAAAACAGCAACCTCTCTCCTTGCACTGTTCGGCGGTGACACCGGGGAAGCCACAGTTTGACCTCTCCTTGGGGGTCACGGTACATGTTTCTAAAGTGAGGATAAAAAACAGAGATGAGTCATGGGCCACATTCCTGAGGTTGTCACACTGCTTCCTTCTCTGAGGAAACAGGACACACCGCCTTCGGGGAGCCAGGTTTGACTACACAAGGGGATAAAGTCCTCATTTGTAGATGCAGAAAGACTGGCGCTCTGGGACAGTTCCAGGGCCCAGTCTTCCACAGCTACGTCTGCTAGATGATGCACTGTTTGCTCATTCGCTTCAGCATCTGGTCGGGAACTCTACTCACCTAATAAATAAATAAATGCTTACTGAGCAGTGCGTGTGCTGGCTAGGTGGAGGTACTGACACAGCGAAAGCCAAGGACACTGTGCCCAGTGACGGAACACGGAGGCGAAAACAGAGATCTTATACCCCACTTCCTTTCTTCCAGGAAGCTGGAGGGCATTCCCGAGGATGTATCTTTGTTTCAGATCTGACAGACAGCCAAGTAAAAGAGGACCCCTTGCCAGACTTTCAGGGTTGAGTCTCCACCCCTGCACCTGAATTCAGAAGCTAACAGACCCATAAAAGACATGAGCCAGACAGTATAATCATCCCAGTGTATGGAGCTTATGCTTGGGACTCGGGGGGTCGGGGGGGAGCCCTGAACATGGGATGAGGACTTCAAGGCTGAAGGGAGGAAAGAACTCCCTAGAGAGGATGCTGACCGTTTACAATAGGTGTCCCAGGAACATATCAGGGTCCAGAGGCCTGGAGGGGGTGGGTTGTTGTTCATCAGGGGCTGCCCCCAGGGCTCCTGAAACATTCTTGAAGAACAGACTTTTGTCTTTCAAGATAAGATCAGGACCCGCCATCCACTTGCTGGTTGCTTCTGAGGCGGTTCTGGCCTCTAAGCTGTGGCTCTATTATAAAGCTAAAGTGACCACTGTCCATGGCACAGGACAATCAGGGGTCACAAGGAGCCCTTGAAGCCATGGAGAAACAGCAGCCAGGAGAGGCAAGGATGCTTCTGCTCTCCTGGGGCCTCCAACTCTCTTTCCCAGCAGGACTTAAAGATCCTCTGTCCTGCCTGCACCTCTGTGGTCACCTGAGGAAGTTATTGAAAGCTGAGTTCCCTTCAGAAGAGTCTTTAGAATATGTCTATATATCTACAGATATATCTCTACGGGAACTAGGTCAAGGACACCATGTGACCCAGAAACAGGTGTTGAGTCCTGGTCCAGGGAATGGGGCAGAGGAAAGCAGGGAGACGGGAGACAGCATGGTGGCTGGAACTGGGGGTAGGGGGACTGGAGAGAGCACAGAGCAGCTGGTAGATGTACCCTCTCCCTTCACCTTCTACTTCAAAGCCATTTACTTCTCCCTCAGCTTCTCCTGACTGGCTCTTTGTCCTCTGTCACAGGCTGGTGCAGAGGGGTCTAGGCAGTTACATGGTAACTTTCCTTCTCCCTGCCCTCCCAACTACCTCCTCCCACTCAAGGGGCATGGAAGATGCTGGAAGGTAAGCAGAACATCCTTAACCCTTCTCTAATGCCTCTCTGTTCCCTCTTCGAAGCCGGGAAAAGCTGAGCTCACACACGGTCACCGCCGCAAGCCTTTTGTCGATAACCCATGAGGCAGAAGACCTTGTTCCCATTCTACAGGCAAAGCAGCTGAGACAAGGTCATAGGTCACAAGGCCCTCCACCCCCAAGGAGGGATGAGGGCTAGGTAGATAACACAGGGCTCCAGGATGGGTTTGGCTCCCAGAACCGGGGACATTCTAAGGATCCAAAGGACCCAGGATCTGGAGGAATCTCTTGAAGGCTCAGTCTGAGTGTAAGAACTTGGGCAGGGCTGCCTGCCAAGGAGAGGCTGGCTAGATGTCACATTTGGAGAGGAGGCTCTAAGATCAGCGTAACGTTCACATCAAGGGAAGATAGAAGTCAACTGTAGAAGCTTCATTCTCCCTGTTCCCTCATAGGTCCTGGGGCTCTGCCTGCTGCTCCGTCTATTCTAGTTATTGTAAACAGGGTAACAGCCTTCAAGGGCCAGACCATTGGCTGCATAGGGAAAAGGTGGAACTAAGCAACAGGTCACAATAGCCTCTGGGGCCCAGTGTCTATCAGCTAGGACCAGTAGGAAACAAGAGGGTTTGTCTTACCTTCCTGGTCCTGGGCAAGGCTGCTGAGGGCCAGCATGAGGACCATAGCGAGGACACAGATCACCTTGTGCTCCATGGCAGCTCCACAGGAAGACCACAAATGATGGCTAAGCTTCTGCCCTCGTACTTGACTTTATATCACCGGTCTATTTGCTTAGAGTGAGCGAGCATTTGCCAAAGGAGGGTCCATGCTGAGTAAGATTACGAAGTGTTTCTGAGATGCAGTCACGGGCTGAGAGTGCTGATAGGGAAGGCTAGTCCCTCTGGTAAGATACACGTGTATCTCCCCTGCCATAACCTTGATACAGTCCCGAGTGGTTTTAGTAAAACCCTCCAGCTGGGCTAACATTGCTCACTCAGGCAGAGCTGGTTCATAGCGAGAGACCACAGAAAGGCCCTGTTGCATCAACAGTGTTCAACAAGTGACCTGAAGCTGGCGAGCCCCCATCTGCTGGCCCTGTGCTTCCGAAGTGGGCTTGTGTATAATGTCATTGACTTGGAGGATCTGGGTCACCCGGTGGCGGGAAGTATGTAGCTCGACAAGATGACAGAGAAAAAAATAATGGGCCTCCTGATGACGTGCTCCTCTCCTCTGCTGGGATGAACCTGTAGGATGCATATTTCCAGCATTCGCTTCATCCTTACACATGCCTATGTGACCAAGGCGCTCTTCGGTCCCTTACTGAGAAAATACACTCAATGGGAGTCTGTCCCATTGATAACTTAGGGCCCTGAAAACCTGTGAGAGCTCAGAGTCCTCGTCAAGGTCTGTATGTGCATCTTGACCAGCTCACCTAAGTGATTCCTGCTTTATTTTTCTATTTGAGATGAGACCAGGCACATTCTGGGTGTCGTGACCATAGACTATTACCCTCTGTGCTGTGGTGGGGTCCTGTTACATAAGGAAAATAAAAAAAGAAAGGAAAACCAATCCTGTTCAACAGCTAAGTGGAGAACAGACACAGTGGGCTCACCCTGCCTGGCACTTGTTGCTCCCTGTCCTCCAGTCTCTGCTTCAATGTCCCCCGAAAGGCATTCTGCCTCCTGGGTCATAGTCTCTGAGAGGATGCCCTGCACCCAGCGCTCTGTCTCACCCTCCAGCTCTCACCCGTTACTGATCCCGTGATCTATCCCTTGCTGCCACTCTGTGTACCTGCTCATTGTCTGTAACCCTCACCTAGACTGGAAGGTTCGTGAGAGCAGAGACTTTGTGTTATTCTGGGAGTAGGCCAGCTCCCAGACCACAGCTTCAATGTATGTAGTATGTTCAAGCAGTAGCTATGAACACCTGAATGAATGAATGAATGAATGAAGAATGAATGAAGAATGAATGAATGAAGAATGAATGAATGATGAATGAATGAACCACAGCAGAAGTGCTTTTCCTTTGGTGATAGATTAAGGATCCTGCATGCTAGCCTGGAAGAGACCCTTACTAAGTAAATCCCAGAGGTCCTCAAGGACATGGATCAGAGAAGAACCATCACCCTCTTTTTCCTTCAACTCCTGCTTCAGCAGGATCCTAGGAGAGGGCCTGACAGGCAGAACTGGGGTACATCAAAGAGAGGGGGCCGAGTTCATCACACACAAGGGATGCGAGGCTCCCTTGCTTCACAGTGAGAGGGCTCAAACAGCAGAGCGGAAACAGTATGACAGTTGGGAGAAGTAAGAGACGAGGCTTGTGGAAACTGAGCTACAAGGAGCAGAGCCCACTGGTTCTAATGGCTCAAGATTTATGTCGATCTCAGAAACATCCACACACATGGAGAAGCAAGAAGAGCTCTGCTAGGGAGAGAGGGGGGAAGTGGGGGGGGGGGAAAGGAGAGGAGCCTCCTAGGGGCTCATTAACAAAAGAAAAGGGAAAGGCTTGACCTATATGAGAATGTCACTTTTGTGTAACAGTATGGCCTGTTCTGCGTGCAGAATGAATTGAATACCTTACCTAGATGGAAAGGAATGGACCACAGGGAGACATATTTGGAATACAGTTAAATGAAGACTCCACCTAAGACTGGATACTCACACGTATCAAATACCAGCCACGCTAGAACAGCACCCAGACCAAATGCATGCAAACACAGACAGGAAGGGAAGGAAGAAGACAGCCTCAGCACAATGCTACACAGAGGAAGGAAGAAACGGAGACATCGGAGGGGCACAGAAGCCCCTCCGTGCTTCTGCCAGGCTGTGATTTGCTGAATTATAAACTCTTCAGAAGCCAGCGAGAGCCAGTGCCATTTGCTGGGATGGATCTGGGGGATGCCCAGTGAGCCACCCTCTGCATAGATACCTGGCTCTTTTTTTTTTTCAAGTCTGACTTCTTTTGAGAAAAGCTGGGGAGGGGCATCCCTGAGCCTTTGGATTTGCCCTTGAGGCAGACGGTGGAGCGGCCACAGCTGATCTTGCAAGGACAGCAAGCGAGGGCTCCGTTTCTCCAGAGTAGAGCCACCTACGTGATTTCCAATGGAAGACAATAGTGGACCTCCTAAATAAAAACCAGGCTTTTAACATGGCAGTGGGATTCAGGGCTTTTAACTGACAGACCATGCTCGGTCAGGGAACCTGTGCAGTGTCTCACCAGCTCTGGGGTTGAGTTTCCCTACTTGAAAAATAGAGAGTAGTCAGGTAGAGATGCAAACCACCATTGCCACTATAAAAACATCACGGAAACTCAAGAACCTTAGAAGTACAACTGCCTGCGACCCAGCTGCCCGTTATGGGGGTACGTGTCGAAAGGAAAGGGAGCCAGGATGCGAAGGGGCATTGCACGCTGTGCTCTGAAGTGAGGAGGAGGTGTGACTCAGAGCCACAGGTGAGGGTGTCAGAGTGTGAGCTGAGATTCGCACCCCTAGAAACCTGGCCACCCGGACAGAAGTGGAGCAGCCTTCCTCTAGGAAAGTCTCCAGACAACCACACCCTGAAATGATCTTGTCATCATGCTCCGTGAAAGAACTCAGACGCGGGCGCGGGCGCAGGCGCAGGCGCAGACGTAGGAGCAGACGCAGATACACGGACCCTGCACGGTCTCGCATAGCTGTGAGATGGTAAAAGACTGAACTCGGGGAGCAGAGTGTAGGATGGTGGTTTTGATGGCCAGGAGAGCATATGGAATCGAGACAGTGTTGCTCAAAGCAAGAAGAAATTAAGTCTACAAGATCTTACCGTGTGGAGCAGTACCGTGTGGTGATTCATAGGTTCAGTAATTTGGCTTGGCCCAACGAGATGGTCTCAGTGGCTAAAGGTGCCTGCCACCAAGCCTGATGACCAGAGTTCCAACGCCAGGACCCACATGGTGGAAGGAGAGAACTGACTCCTACAAGCTGGCCTCTGAGCTACACGGGCACCATGACACATGTGCACCCCCCTACAAAAATAAAAGTCTATAAACTGATGTATGAATGAACAGTCTGGCTTCACTGGCTCATGAGGTACACATTTTGTTCTTTAATTTTTTGAAGCAGCAGTGTAGAGGGCCCAAGGTCCTTGGTGCCCACAGATAAATGCTAGGAAAACCAAGAATGCTAAGCACGAAGGCTTGTCCCTTTAACTGCGGGGGATGTATGCCCATTTCCACCTGGAAAGTGGGGGATATGTGTAGTTAATAACCTGGTGATCTGTGCTATCTGTAGGGTCAGGCCTCACCCAAATATCCTCCCCCCCATTATGTTTATCCAAGATCTTCCTCCCGATGAATTTTATTCTGAACATTGTTTCTCCATCAATAGAACCCATTCTTAAGGAAGAGGTCAGAGGTAATTTGCAGAAGACTTGTACTTTGCTATAAGAGTTTTGATGTGGTCATCCCGTAAGCGTTCTTGTGACAGTTGTCACTGGGAAACCCTTTTCCAAAATTGTACTGTGTTTAAATATGTCAAAAATAAACTCCCTGGGATCAGACTCTAAAAGTCTGGAACAATGCCAGCTGAGTCTTGTTGAATTGGATTTCCTTCTTGCCCCACACTGACCAAACATTACTCTGGCAGTCCTGGTGTTTGCAGAGACGCCCACCCAGCAGGGTTTACACTTGTAGCAAGCACATCCTGGCCTTGAACCCGTGACCCTTCTGACTCAGCCTCCCTGATGCTGGGATAACAACAGTCGGGTATCATCAGGTCTAGCTGTGCACACACATTTCAAAGCATTGTATCATATACCATAAACGTATGTGGTCTTTACCTCTGAACTTTAAAGTTAATAAACTAAGGTCTATATATAAAAACGAAGTGTCTTCGTAAGGGCCCTAGAGCAGCTTTCAGAAGTCTCAAGGCTCCAGTTGGAGCTGATGTGGGATCCAGAGTTCCCCAAATACAAGAAAGGGCCCTGGAGTAAGGGTGTGAAACCATTTCCGGGTGTCTCTCCTACACTGTACTGAAGCCTTGATCTCCAGCAGCTGACGCTGTGCCCTCATTTGGAAATGGGTCTCTGCAGATGATGGCCTTCAGGTGGAGACAGGATGGATGTGAATGTTTCCATATAAAACAAGAAATCTGGGCACAGGTACATCCTCGGACTTCAGTGAGGCAGCCATAGAAACCAAGGCAGTCTGGTGAAGAAAACCACGAGGTGCGTCTGAGGCCATCAGTACCAGCTCTGAGCTGACCCAGACCCTCAGAAGCACAGACTCCATCCAGGTCTCTTGAAAGCAACTGTAGACTACAGGTGACGCTGGCTCACCATGTGGGCAGCGAGGGTTCACATCCTCCTGTACTTGGGACCATCACTTGCAGATTTTTAAGGATTATCATCATACATGAAGACTTATACTACACTGTTACATGCAGAGGAACTGGGCCCTGAAGTTTAAAACAGCCTGAGAGAAAGATGCAATGCTAAGCTCGGGTGTTAGAGCTGACGAATGTGAGAAGGTGGGGTCTGTGAACCACTCTGGGTTCTGCTTCCCAATTAATTCTTCCTGTGAGAGAAGAATTAACATCCCTTATTGAAAAGGCAGTGTTTAACAAGCCCAATTCAATAATTTTGCTCTCCCCAGATCAAAATGGGAGAAGCTGCCCTCCTCTCCTGGCAGGTGAGTCAGACGCTAAGATATGGGGCTGGTGTTTGACTTTGTGGGGGTTCCTTGGGGCCCACACCCCACCGAT